TTGCGGGGAATTGATATTTTGCGCCTCTTTACGCGGTCTCGATTTTAAAATATAAGACGAGTTGACCCGTTCGATTGAAATATCGGTCGGGATTCTTTTGGCGGGATCTTCGGGCAGCTTCAGCTCGAGAGAAATGGAAGCATTGCGTATAGTATTATTAGGATTATCGAGAGTCCGATCATTAATCAGTATATCGAGCTAATTAATAATGTGTAATGGCCTGGCCGGCAGACAGATCCCGCGATCTCACGCAATCGCGTTGGTATTGATATCGGTAGCTGTGTTCTCCGTGCAGGCAGACCTGCTTTTTCGTCTCGTTTTCATTCATCTTCTTACAGGATTAGCGCATTAAGGATTATCGTGATAAGCGATAAGCGACGTAACAGCACTTCTGTCGCTTCTTCTTCGTCATGTTGTCGTATTTTTGTTTGCATCAGAAACGTTTTGTTTTCACCAGGCAGCTCGCCGCGTCTGAGAACATCTTTTTTTTAAAAGATATCTTTAAGACTTTATTAAAAGACGTCGTAAAGACATATTTTCAAGACCGGAAAAATCTAAAAGTTATCTTTTATAAGATGATTTAAAGACTTTTTTTTGAGGATATTTACATTCCTGAATACAAATCAATATTTATTGATTAGAATAGCACGATTGACCCGGCTATTACACAATTTATAAAAAGTATTTACTATCAGTTAAATCTTAAAAAAACTGCAAAATATATTATATATTATTAATGATACATATACATGCATATGTATGTAGACCTTTTAATTATTTTATAATAATTCATATGCGCATATCTAATGATGAAAAATACATATTTATCTCGGAACTGAAAGTCATCGGACGTGTGATTGAGCCTGACTGTCGAATTGGCCGTCAGATCGGACGTCGAAGCCGATAATCCAGTTTTCAATTTCGAGAATGACGCGTTCCTCGAGTCGTCTTGCTCATTCGCTCGTTCGTTCGAAGAAGGCACGAAGACCGAGGGCAAATAAAAATACGATTCGTCGAGAGACAGAGAAAGAGAGATCTCTTTCCCTCTTCTCCATCTCCTCCTCCTCCTCGAGACGTTGAGGCGAGTCGATGTACGCCGTTGGGGTGGCAACGAGGGGGTGAAACAAAACGAACGAGGGAAACGCGAGGTCGAAGAGGAGGAAGAGGAGAAAAAAATAGAAGAGAAGCGAGAGGAAGAGAAGGACTGACGACTGCAGCGGATCCGAAGCCGGTGGGAAAGGAGGGGGGGGGAGTGCAAGGGTAGCGCAGCCACGGGAAAAAGAAAGCAAGAGAAGAGAGATAAAATAGGAATAAAGGGACGGGAGAAACGTAGATCGCCGCGAACTTCAGAAATGTCATATCCGTCAGTGTCCGGGGCTCTGCCTTCTGGAGGCAACCGGTTCCAAACGCACCCGGCAGCCGGATGATAAAGTATTGTCCGCGCGCGCGAGTCCCCGATACGCGCGCGGGGGCAATTACCGGGAGCTCCGTCCTTCGCGGGATATACGCGCGAAGTTAAATAAATTCGCCGTGGATATAGGCGCAACTCGCTCGCTCGCGAGTCCCCCCGATTGCGAGATCGACGTTGTACCGCCGGCGAGGATCGCGCACTCGCGCGAAAGAGAGACGGAGAGAGACTCTTGTCCTGCGGACGAGCAGGGACAGGACTTACCGTGGAGAACGAGAATACTTTCATGGGATCTAATCGCCCAGCAATGCGTGCACGACCGGTGCCGCCTGACCAGTCAGTCGCTCTCGCACGAGGGAACATTCGGATGAACTCGTCGGCGAGCCGGCGGCGTGGCGGCGGGTCGTGCCGCCGGCGGATATTTCGAGATCGAGTGTACGAGCAGAAATAATTCCGTGTCGTAACAAGCGATGGATTTCCAACTTGAAGAAGTAAAATTCAGTCGAGTTAAATGTGTCTCGACTTAAGCCGAGTTAAGCTGCTTAGAAATAGATTAAATATCGAGGTTCGTATATTCTCCGAATTAAACGCGAGTATCGCGTTTGACGATTGACACCCGGGCCGGGAGGAAGGGTGCGTTCGCGAAGGCTCTCATGCACACGCGCACCCGTCGTATTCTGTGTGTTCCACCGTCGTCGAATTATTCTCCATTTGCTAATGATCCCGCCCGGACAGTCGGAACCCGCTCGTCTGGAAACTCCGTCCCGCGCGCGTTTCTCGTTTAATAACCATTAGCCCGCGCGACGTGATGGCCGGTAGGTGCCATGGTCGGCGATTTTCGGATTGTCCCAACTCCCCCCCGCCCGAAGGGGCGAGGGTGTCAAAGATCTAGAGCAGATAGCGGCGCGGCTATATTGATGAGGTGGCTCTCCGCGTATTGATTCCAGGGCGGAGGGTTTTCCCCGCAACACGAGCGCACCCCCGCGGGCCCCTTTTGCTACGCGCAAGGGTTGATAAGATCCGCCAGATAAGGCATGATTACACACCGCACCGTACCTACCTTCTCTCTCTCTCCAACGTCCCTCCCCGATCCTCCTTCCCGATGCCTTCCGACCCTCGCGCTCCGTTCTCGAGGTAAACAAGGGTCCGTTCTGCGCGATGGACGTCGGAACAAAAATGGATCGAAGAACGATAGATTTCACCGCGAGGTTAGCGTAAATTCATTGTCCGTCAAAAATGGTTGAGCGATAGATATTGAGAAGTAAAAAAAACAAATACATTAAACTCATATTAATTTGACGATCTTCACGGAAGATAACGGGAGCTTCTCTTTGCGTTTGGCAGTTGCCGCTTATCTCTAGATCTTTGAATTTTTTTTTCTACGCACATTCGCTACAATAACCGGGCACGCATCGGCCGGGGCAGCCCGAAAAACTGCGAGCCCTCGATCGCGCACTGATCCGCGAATTTGTCCCCAAATATCGATAGAACGCGAGACTGCGCTCGAAAGAGGGGTACACTCGAGAGAAAAAAAAAATCGGAGAGACACTCGGTTGGTACTGTCTCAGAGTTCATTGTGCGCGTGACGTAACGTACGGGTGGGGCGGGCCGAAGGGGAGGGCAGTTTTATGTCCTGCATAGGGGACACACGCGTGCTATTCCTCTCGCTCAAAGAAATTTCAATAAGCTCGCTATTATGCGAGTCGGCGGGCGGGAGGCTCCCCTGTATTTTGTGCTTTCGCCGACAATGACGCAGGTATAGTTTCGCCTCGACGGTGCCCTGCCTCTCCGAGTGCCAGGGTGCAGTGTCATCTTGGGGGGAGGGGGGGGGCGGGGGGTTAAGTGGTTTGTGAGTAGGGGGTGAACAAGGGGCTAGAGAGTGGAGGGTCAAAGGTGGGCGCCTTTCGTAAAGGAAACATCTTATGCGCGCCGTCACCGCCATTATCTCGGCACGGTGATCGATTTTGTTAGGGGTATTCATCTTATCAACTGCATGCGCCAAGTTTTACACGATATGACACGTAAATCAAATATATCATTAAATTTTACATTATTACAAATTCGCGCACGAAATGTCAATTCAAGAAGATAATCAGCGCATGATAAGATTTTAATAATTAGATATTACAATATTAATTAATAGTTTCGAATAATCGAGATACAAATTCACGAGAGAGACAATTTGTCACGTCAAACACTTGACAGTAATAATTCAAAGCCCGCAATCTCGAAAGGGCTAAATAATAATCGTCCATTAATTTGTCTCGCTCAACGTGTACATACGTCCATTGCGCGATGCGCCTGAAGTTTACCTGCGGCGCACGGTTTTCGGTAACAGTATCATCCATTAACGGTTAAGTGGTACAACAGGAAGAGCCAGAGAGAAAGAGGGACGAAGGGTAGAAGTGAAAGGTGCGGGATACGGTGCACCGGGGGAAGGATCGGTGAAGAGGGCATTTTATAATACGGATCCGACGCGGTGCGCGGCGCGGCGGTGGGATACCTGCTCCCGTTCCCTCTCTCCCGCGTTCGAGAAGTGCATTCGCGCGCCGCCGCGCCGGTTCGGGACGCGGGGAAATAAGCCGCGGTTAGTCCCCGAGGGATAAAACGGATCCCGCTCCTTTTCGTTAAGTGTTTGCCACTCGCATGCCGTCGAACGGGGGGTGTACAGGTGTACGCGGGGTCCCCCGAGTTTTTCGAGTCTCTCACTCCCCCGAGAATGGGAGAGACGATAAGCTTCTCGCGCTATCGGTTCTCCTCTTTCTTTCCGAGAGACACGTCGATCCGACCGGCAGGCAGGCAGGCAGGCAGGCAGGCAGACAGCCAGCCGGGAAGGATTTTGTGGGGTTGATGTGTCACGCTAACCCGCGTCAAGCTTGTGGCTTTTTGATTCCGCGCATAAGCCGACGGATCGAATGCGCTTCTGGCGTGGGAGTGAACGGACTCTCGAGCGTACTTGAAAAGAGTATTTCATTCCGTCGCGCGTCTTGTAATCCTTTCTCGTACGATGCGAGTCTGATCGTGCCGTGTGTTGCTTGAAACAATAATTTGTTCGAGGAGCCGTTTAAAAAAATGATATGTGTGCGTAATGTAAGATAAAAATGTGCATTTATAAAAACTGATGAACGTGGCAATTTGATTTCTCCTTTTTTAATAATTAGTGAAATGAAAGTTAATCTAATGAATAAATTTGCTATTTTTAAAAGAGAATATGATAAACAGAATTTAATTAAATTACGTAATGTTTCCTTGCCATTTTTCTGATATAGTATCCTATACCATATTTGCATATGCTGAGATAGGAAAGTTAAACTAAAAAAATCCATCTATCAATTAACCGATATAAGATTTAACCCCGGCAAAAGAAATAGGAGACCTTCTGCTCGCGGTTGCTAACATTTTTAATTTTTACATTGCGTAGATTTGATTAACGTAATTTACATATTTAGTAGATTATGCGTTGCTCTAATTGAAGTTACAGAATCATAATATATTGCTTGGGTTAAATCTAGCCGAGATGATCGCGCGAGACGATCGTCCGTAATGCAAATGTGACGGGTGTGATATCTGTGTCTTCTCTTTTCCAAAACTGTCGCTGCAGAGTGCGGCGAGACGGGCGGGCACCAGCTGCGCCAACTGCAAGACGGCGACCACGACTCTCTGGCGGAGGAACCAGGCCGGCGAGCCGGTCTGCAACGCTTGCGGGCTCTACTACAAGTTGCACAACGTGAGTAACACTCATTAATTTATTACTTCGTCGGCCGGCGTCGCGAAATCGGTGCGACAGTTTCGATTGTTCCGAGAGACGCAACTGCGCCTTTCCGCGATATAGGGAGCTTCTTCTCGAGACGTTGCTGAATGAAACTTATTGTCAGCCGGCAGATCTCGCGCCGACTTTGCGCCTCGCTAATTAATGTGAACAACACATTAATTAGTCGGTTAATTGAGACAGAGAGAAAGTGGCTCTTTAACGCGCAGGTCTTTCGGTCTCGAATTAATTCCTAATATCTATCGTAGACAATCGCTTGTTAAACGGTAACATTTTAACGTAACGCCTTACGTAACGTAATCGGATAGTTAACTTCGGGTAATTTTCTTTACACAATACGCTTTATCAAAGGGACCGATAGAAGTGTTACCTACATTCGCGAGGTGGTCGCCTGCACATTCAACATTTTATCGACAATCTTAGGAATTCGGGAGATCGTGGACGATTCGCGGAAAATTAATATGTGGAAGAAACCTTTGTACTTTCTTCGCTACAACATTATTCCACCGTCGGAAGCGCAACCGCGCGGGTGGCCGTTTGCAAACACGCAAACCCACGCACACGAGTAGTTGCCTCGAGACAATGAAGGCACCGCCGCCGCCGCTGCCGCGCCGCGGAGGGGGACCGCCGGTGTTGTACCAACAATTAGGATGCTTTCTGGTTTGCCGGACGTGGTCCTTACACACGTACGTCGGGCCGCCTGGAAGGGGGTGGAGCGTGCTCAACGGCGTGTGACACCGGAAGCGCCGGAAGCGGAGCGCCGCGGCACGAAGGGGGAGACGCGATAAACGTGATCGGGACGGGAAAGGGGGAGACCGAGAGAGCGAGAGCGGAGAGAGTGTCGCTATTTTTTTCCTCTTTTTTTTGTTCCCCTTTTTCTCTTCGTCGAAGACGATATTTCACCTCGCGATAGACGCGCTTGGATTGTCGCTGTCTCACTGAGCTGTTGCCGGTGGACTTCCGCGAGACGGAAATCTCGAAGATGACCGAGAGGCGTGTGGGCGACGGCCTTAATAGGCGAGACACGCGTCGCGACGGCTTCTAGCCGAGGAATTTCGCGAAGTTAACGAGCTCGTCGAGATAAAACGCGCGCGCCGTTGTCCCTCGCGTGCCGTTGTTTTTCAGATAAATGAACTATCTGATTTTCTTTAGAATTGCAAAGAAAGAAGCGGTATGCGCGATTTCTTCGATTTATCAGTTTTATCACTGATCAGTTTGTGACAAAATTTCGTTTTCGACACTATAATACATTCTTCATTTGTTACATAATATATTTTATATTTACGCAATTAAAAATTCCTCAAGTAATTATATTCCTCGAGTAGATATTATCTCACTCCTTATTTTTGTGCTATAAAAAGCTCTCTTATTAGAAGAAATCCTGTCTCTGTAAATCAATTGATAGAGATACGCGATTATTAATGTAATAATTCATGGTCGTCTACCGATCTCCCAAGAAGTTCTCGGCGCAGCGGCAGCAGCAGCAGCAGTAGCAGCAACAGCGGCGGCATCATCGCGACGAGATTAAGCGCACGATAAACGAGAAGGACGGAAGGAAAAAGAAGCTGCGTAAATTCGGACGGACGATTTGCTCGGCGATGGACCCGCACAGTGCGTCGCCTTGTTTTCGCGTAACGGCGGCGGGGAGAGACAGAAAGCTCCACTGTGACGGGGGGGGGAGGGGGGGAGGCAAACGTGACGAATGTCCGTGGCGCGGTGAGGGCCCGCTCGCGCGCGCGCAGAGAAATCGCGAGCCAATTAGCGCGCGCTGCAAATGAATCCTCTTTCACCCGGGTCTCTCTCCCCCCTCGGGACGGCGGCGCGGCGCGGCGCGGCGCGGCGTGCACGCTCTCCCGGGGAGGCCCTCTTTCCCTCGGCCTTATCGCGATTAGCTTAGGAGAGATTGCGCCGACTGGAAATCAAGATACGCAGCAGCCAGACACGGCTGCTGCCACGGATACGCCCCTGACGCGCGGGGGGAGGGCGCAGGGGAGGGGGGGAGGGTATAGAGTCGTGAGCCCCATTTCTTACGTCTCCTCATGAGGACGACCGCGGATTTCTATACTTGTCCTGAACATCCGTTGCCTCGGTGCAAGAAAGTGAAAACCCTCGGTGAGCCGAATTTCAGAAATAGAAACACTGCATTTTGCGCGGCCGTCGGTGATTACAGCCTGTCATTACGTGCGCGCGTGCATTTCACACGTTTGACGCAAGGTACGCCTTGAAAAAATAATTAAAAACTTAAACGGAAATGCTAAATGGAGCGCGTGAAAGCGTGATGAATTAATTATAATAGGTATATGTATATAATTTTTATTCATATAGTATAGAAGGGAAATATAACTTTGCGAACACATCCATTTGCGTTACGAGTTTCTATCTTTCGTTTTCATTCGGACTGCTAATAATATAGATGCAGATTTTTGTAGTATTCGTGTTCATATGTATAATATTTTCGTAAATGCAAAGATTATGTGAAAAGCAATTTTTATAACCGGCCCAGTAAATTCAGTAAATCTTTAGATTTTACATTTCACGTTACCTTTACAATTTTTTTTACATATAGCCGTATATAATTTGTACGATACTTGTTACTTTGAGCTACCGTATTAATGTATGAGGGAATTAATGGCGAACTTCCGGCATCCCGAATGCATGCCTGCGGGAAAGGGAGCGATCGCGAAGGCGAACGCAGCGGCGTTTTGCTTCGCGGAAATGAGAAGTCTCTTTTGCCGAGCACAGCGACCGATTTCAATCGGGTCCCTTCCCACGACCAACTCCGATTGTTCCGCACTTCGGAAGAAACATTTGCCGTTTCCCGAATACGCCCGCTTCCGCTTCCTCCACGACGATATCTTCGGAGGATCCTTCGGGAGGGAAAGAAAGACAAATAAAATTTAGGAAGAGCGAAATGATAGAGAGAGAGAGATAGAAAGGGAGAGCACGAGAGATTGCATAGGGAGAAACGTGAGGCCGTAATGGATACTTAATACCCCGAGAATTTTCCTCGGATAGGACGCGACACGAGGTTTTTCAAAAGCGAGACGACCGACAAAAGGGCCCCGGCCATTACACGGCGAATCGAGCCGATGCGCGAGGCTCGAAACGTTTTCTTTCGACGAGGATCGGAGGCAAAAGGTCGTCTCCCCGGCCACCGTCGAAGCCAAAGCGACGCTTGTCGCCGTGGCGTCGTCGGCCGCGTCGTTTCGCCTCGACCCCGGCAAGAATGAAAAGCCGGACCCGCGCGCGGTAAACGAAGTATCGAGTTGCCATTGTCATCGAGCCTCTCGGTGCCCATTGTCGATTTCTCTACCGTGGAATCTAATTCCCCAGCTCTCTTCTCCTGCTCCTTTCTCTGTTTCTGGCTCTCGAAACGAATCTCCAGACTTCCTCCCCCGCGAATCGCAACTTCCTCGCATATTTTTTTTTCTCTACCAATCATTAAAGATCGTACACGATAGAAAGTAAATTTGCTTATTATGCGTTTATTGTGATGAAGAATTTTTTTTCATGCCCGATATCGTTTCAGTAGTTGATAAAAAGTAACCCAAATTATTACTTTTATAAAACGATATCGACGAGAGAGAGAGAAAGAGAGAGAGGGAAAATCTCACGATTATACCTACAGGATTCTACAAGTTTCAGATTTTTTTATTCCCCGTGGCGTTCGTACAACATTCGCGCGGATTCCTCGCGCGTCAGTCGAGCGTATACCCGTACTCACGCGTGATTCGTGACACACACATACACACGCGCGCGCACGCACGCAGATATAGCCACAACCATGGCCCGAGTGGTTGGAATAGGTGACTGTCTCCGTTGACGTTAAGCCGACACATTACAGTCTTAGCGCCGGGGCCCCGTGTCCGAATCTTTTCTTCTTCCACACGGCTCGAGGATGCGAGGGAAGAAATGGACGCCCGAGAGCGAAGAGACGACTCTCGAAATAGTCGATGCCGGCGCACTTTCGACAATCGGAACGGGCACACGCGGCGATTCAATGGATCTCTCTCAGGATGTGATCCCGAAGGTCTCTCGCGCTAATCGACTGTCGAGCGATCGAGTGAAGATTAATTCTCTTGTGAACAATTAAAAATAAAGAGACACGCGCGTGCACCTCGGCTGCTCTGCGATATCAATACAAATCTTTTTTTTTTTAATGTACATATGATTATCACGTAAGAAGTCCGCGTCTTTACACCTAAATGTTTTTGCAATAATTTACTTCATTAGCGATGCATTACAAATTTGCATAAAAATTCACCAATCGAAATCCTGATTAGCTGACAAATAATTTCGGAGTTACTGTTAATTGCCAATTGCGGAGGTTAACGTTCAATTACCATTTCAGGTTCGATCACGAAGATTTTTATCGGGAGATATTATCGTGAAAGTTGTTTCCGGAGTTTCGCCTTCGATAGGGAAGACCGCGACGAATCAATCATTTCGGTGGCAGACGTTATTTCTCTTCCCGTCTCTCGTACTTGCGCCCGTCTCTCACGCCGTGTTCCCTTTCTCGCGCGCGTTCTCTCTCACTCTCGTCTCTCTCCTCCGAGAGACTTCTCTTGCGAGATCTCCCGACAGGTCGCGGCGGGGGTGAGGGAAGGAGCGGAGGAGGGATCGGGTCGGGGATTGGGTGGAGAACGACAGATCTGGCGTCGTTAAGATAGAGCGGACCGATAGCGCTCCATGGCTAAACTCAAACACGCACACGCGACTCTCCGTGGCTCTTCGCTTGAAAATACATGGATTATTCGTGCCCAAACACCGAGCTACCGGGTGCTCGGAATATGGTAATCGTCGCCCCGAAACCAGCCTCACGCGAGGCATGGCTATATGCGGGGTCAGCAAGGTCACGCTCGACTTTCGTGGCTAGATGGAATTCTCCGTTCGCAGTATAGTTTCTAAGGTAGGCTCGCGCGGAAAATAAAATTTCATTATATTGCCAAACCTACAAA